GAAGTGTACAAATAGACTATTAAGTGCTTCAGGGTTAGTTGGAGTCTTGATAACAATGCCCAGTCATCTTTTAAGGTTGGCCGAAGCCCTTATATTACAAACAGTCCATGTACTTACTCTATTGGAATAAAACTGTTTCCTACACACACCTCTCCGCACTTCTGCACAACAGAAGCAAGGTACAAGGCAGACAAATGGCTGTGATGATTCCACATTCCCAGCTAGTACATGGTAAACAGGACGAAAAAGTTTGCAGGCCCAGCTAGAACAACCCCCATACTCAGAAGTTCTAGAATTAAACTGCATTGTAAATCGAGACAGAATGCCCTCATTTACTCGAAAATAGATGCAGGAGCAGAGAACCAAGAAATCATGTCCTGTTCTCTCATAACCCACCCTCCCTGCTGTGCCCCAGCAAAAGCTGAAGATAGGGAAGAACCTGACCTCTTAATTTTTCCCCATTTATCCTCATATGAAATCTCTCCTGTGCCTTTTAATCATTCTATTTTGATGTATTTGGACACTCTGAGACACAGGATCACCAACACTGAGCACATTATTCACAGTACGAGTATACCATAATTTATACCACATCATGATATTTTCATTATACATGCTGACTTAAGGTGGGGGGGGGACGAGGGGGTCTACGAAGTTATTTCAAGCTGGGCATCATTCGTGATGGCTCATGTAACAAGGGGCCTTCTCAAGGCTGATTAGAAGTTGGCCTGCCCACCTGTTTCTAGGCAAACTGCCCACCTCTCTCACCTGCCATGCCTTGCTGTTTAATAATTGGTGTCTTAATTAGGCGGGAGGCTGCCCTTTGGCAGCCCTGTTCTCCTGGACCTATGTATGCAGCTTCAACCACCCCTGTACTGCACCCCAAGCCTCACAGATGACACACATGAATGATGTTCCCTCGTACCATAACTGGTGCTCCTGGGTCTCACAGGGACTCTCACTCCCTCCTTAGAGAAGCATGCCATTGTGCTCTCCCTTGCTGTAAATTTTGACCCGCACTCGGCTTCCTCTCAGCAGAGGACTTGTTGGGGTCAGGACTCACCCCTAGTTTCCTGGCTGAGCCCCACTATACAGCCTCAAACCCAACTATGGCCTCAGGTGTCTGAAAATATACCTTGGCCTAATCCCCACACATGGGGTTCCTACTATGCCCACCCTAGGGCCTCTACACTATGCCCCACCCTGGGGTCTTTTCATCATCTTCACACTCAACTACTCACAGGGCTGGCCCTTGTGCTACCCTTCAGACTTACTCCCCATTTGGCCCTACTCAACGCGCTCCTGGAACTGCCCTTCACACCCACTCCCTGTTCAGCCCTACTCAACCCCCTTCACGCACAGACCTTCAGGCCTACTCCTGTTCAACCCTGCTCTGTATGGGGCCACCTACATCCCTGCCCTCTCAGGGCCTTCGCAACTATCCCTGACCAGGGGCCTCCGGGGTCTTCCTCCCCTGCGGGCTCAGCTGGCTGCAGCTGTGCCTGGCCCCACTCCTCTCCTGGGGACTTCCATCCCTTAGGGCTCAGGTGGCCATAGCCATGCCTGGCCCTCGTACCCACCGGATTGTGGGGGCTAGGGGTTAAGGCGCCCTGACCTGCCTTTCACCAGGGTAGTAACTGGCCTGGCATTTCCTGGGGCTCCCATGCCACCAGAAGCCCCACCAGGCCATCCATACCCAGCTGGGTGCAGTTTTAGGTCATGCCCAGGACTAAGAGTCTCCTAGCCAACCTCATAAGATCTTGCTTTTACCTCCTAGTGTTCCTGCTGCAGCTCCGCCAGGCAATGTTTCTGCCTGGGCTGGCAGCAGCAAACTGCAGCCTTTATATACCTGGTTCTCATAATGGCTGCCACCACCAGGCACCTGCCAGCTGTCTGACTCTGCCCTTAAAGTGGCAGGCACCCAAAGGTGCACTGCCACACTCAGTAATAGATTTACTACAGAAGACAATGGTAAATACCAAATAATCAGGTTACAAAAGCATCAAGAAAATAAAGTTTACTAAATATACCCAGCATTGGTGTTGATCTAGTAAAGGATCACCTTGAAAGGCTGGGCACCTTCAAGTCAGCTGGTCCTGACAGATTACACGCTAGAGTACTCAAGTGGCTGGCAGGTGTCATAGCCCAATCATTGGCAAAAATATTCAAAAACTCGTGGCGCTCAGGTGAAGTACCTGAGGACTGGAAGAAGGCCAATGTGGTACCCATCTTCAAGAAAGGGTGGAAAGTAGATCCTGGGAATTACAGGCCAATCAGCTTGACCCCAGTAAGATTCTGGAGAAAATTATCAAGGAGACCCTTCTGGATAAGCTGGTTGAGGGCAACATCCTGAGGGATAGCCAGCACAGGTTTGTTGCAGGTAGATCTTGCCTAACCAATCTCATCTCCTTCTATGACCAGGTGACATATCACATGGACAAGGGAGAAGAGATTGACATCATATAACCGGACTTCAAGAAAGCCTTTGATCAGGTGTCCCGTGACCTCCTCATGGAAAAATTGGCCAACTGTGGCCTCTGCTATACCACAGTCAGCTACACCACAGTCTGATGGCTGGGAAATTGACTCTGCGGTCAGATCCAGAGTGTAGTGGTCGATGGTAGCAAATCATTATGGTACTGCATGATCGGTGGCGTCCCCCAAGGCTCTGTCCTTGGACTGTTTCTCTAATCAACGATGTGGAAGTTGGTATCAGAAGCGCACTGGCTAAGTTCACCGATGACACTAGCATCCACACCTGAGGACAGGCTAATGATCCAGGCTGACTTGGATAAACTTAGTAAGCGGGCGGATACAAACCTGATGATATTCAATACCGATAAATGTAAGGCACTCCACCACAGGGAAAAAAAACCCGCAGCATACTTATAGGCCTGGCAGTGCTACGCTTGCTAGCACCATGACTGAAAGAGACTTGGGGGTCATGACTGACCACAACATGAGCCACCAATGCAATGTTGCAGCTGGTAAAGCAAACAAAATTCTGGCTTGAATCTCAGGATGTTATCTTCCCACTGTACTTGGCCTTGGTGAGGCAGCAGCCAATTTGGGGCTCCACAATTCAAGAAGGATGTCGAGAAGCTCGAGAAAGTCCAGAGGAGAGCCACGCACATGATCAGAAGGCAAGAGAATAGGACTTATGAAGAGAGGCTGAGAGCCATGGGACTCTTCAGCCTGGAAAAGTGCAGGCTCGGGGCACCTGGCAGCTGCCTATAAGTACATAAGGGGTTTGCATCAGGGTCTGGGAGAATGCCTGTTCCCCCAAGCGCCCCAAGGAAAAACAAGGACCAACGGTCATAAACTCTTCCAAGACAAATTTAGGCTGGACATAAGAAAAAATTTCTTTACTGTCTGAGCCCCCAAGACCTGGAATAGACTCCCTCGAGAAGTGGTGCAGGCATCTACTCTGGACTCATTCAAGAAACGTTTGGATGATTATCTTGCTGGGATCCTTTGACCCTACCTGACTTCCTGCCCTGGGGCAGGGGGCTGGACTTGATGATCTTCGAGGTCCCTTCCAGCCCTAACGTCTATGAAATCTATGAAATAACTAGTAGTAGCATTCAACTAATAGCAAATCACTATCCAACCATTTTTAAATCAGAAAAGATGCAGGTACATCCTGGAAGAAATGTCCTCCTCCAGCTACCTCAGTTCTAACATAAGAATTTAGGCTGCCTGCAGTCATTCAAAAAAAACTCCAAAACAAAAAAAAGTGCTTTACTAGAAGAAGCAGCATGTTACTTCAACCTAGCTCTGCAGTGTCTGCAAATATCAGTGGGGCTTTTTGGCACTCTTAGCTAAAACTGATTCACAATTGGTCATTAGATACAAGTGCCAAAAAGCCCCACTAATGCACCCGATCTTTACAGATGTTGGGTGAGCTGGGTTGAAGTAAGGCATACTGTTTTGGTTTTTTACACCTGCAAGCACCCTTAAATGACAAGCCACTGCTGTTTATAACACTGACATCCAGCTTCAGAGATTAACTGGTTATAAAGAATCCATGATAGTCTAGTATAAAGGTATTACCTGCTTGAACCTGAAATGGCTATGTAAGTGACTAAGCCAGAAGTAAGCCATTAGTTCAACTAAAACACCCAGTTGAAAGTACAAATGCACAAGGGGGGAGTATGTGTGTGTGGAATGTTTTTCTGAGATTTTTTAACACAATTTTTCATATGCCTCGATCTATAAAGACAGGGTGTACTATGAGCTTAAGCATAAAGATCTCAGAAGATTAAAAGAATTAGAAATTTAAAAACTTCTTCAATTACTTAGAAAAATCCTTCCCTCTGATTTTTCTATTTTTGACAGCAAACAGAGGCAGGGTACAATCAGAGAACTGAACTACTCAATGTCCTCATACCCTAGTGCTGTGATAGAGATGCTGCCAGGAAGCAGATACTGGGGGCAAGCAGGGGCTGTGGGTCAGGAGTGACAGCCAGTGGTGGGGTGAGGGGCTGGGAGCGAGGGGCAAAGGCAGAGCTTATCAGTGCTGCTCAGCATCCCACATCCTGGTAAGCAAAGGGAGCATGGACAGCTTTTTATATTACTGGGGTCAGCACAGGTGCTGGTTTATCTCTAGCTCCCCCTGGCAAAAGATCTGGGAAGAGTTGGGCAGGGTCATTAAAACAGTAGAAAACATGCTAAGCACACTGTTATTGCAGCAAAATTACAACTTTTTGCGTATGGAGTATCTCCATATTGTATTAAGTTCAGCTACTGTTGGACTGCACCATGGAAATCATGCAAACAATGCAAGGTCTTTACTCAGCCATGACATCAGGCAGGGACCCTTTTGTTATACCACAGCGGGGAGCGGGGAGGGGCGGGGAGTGACATAAGGAGAGATATGTAGCTAGTCCTGTAATCATAAAAAATGAGTGCTTGAACTTTCAACCTTAATATACTTTAATTTTTTTGCATGAAACACTGAATAAATATGTATAAAAACTTAATAGTAAATATCATCATACCTTTTGACCCATGATTATAGGCAGCAAGTGGTCCAGTAAATTGAATTCAGCCATTGGGATTGTAATGGTGCATTTAAGTATAGTAAAGCTTGTGAGTCGAGTGGGAATGTATTCCTCCAAAGATGCTAGTTCTGAATCTGGCATAGTTCGATTTCCATCTACAATATCTAAAATAGGTCATGATTATATAAACAAACTAAGCATAAGACTAAAAGTAGCAAAATATTTTCTACAATAACTATTCAAATATATTTTGTTGTTTAGTAGGTGTGAATAGTATTTTGTTTTTATTTTTATTCTTCTTATGTTTAGGAGTGTTAATTCTTCTATTTTAGGCTCTACCTAAAACCAAATATAATCATAATTAATTATTTTTATCACTATGAAATGCACATTTGCAAAATGAAAGATCTCTGTCTCTTTCTATGACTTACATAGGGTGTTAGTCTTATTAGCTGACCATAATTACTTCCAAATCATTTTTTTTTGTTCATTTAAACTCTAATTTCTTAACTCATAAACCTATACTAGTGGATTCCTTTCTCCTTGGAGATTCGAGGAATTCACTCTTAGCAGGGAGGCTTAAAATGTAACACCAAAGCTCTAAAAGTGGTCCATGCTGTTCATACACAGGCATAGCTAGGGATGCCAGGGGATATACTGAGGCCCTTGTGGTAACCTACAAGCAGGATTTTCTCCTCTGCTATCAGAAGTGCTGAATCTGGTCTACAGTCTGTAATAAAGAAGAAATAAGTTAGGCAGTATACCTGATTTAGCCTTGCTATATGGCTCATATTCATGTTCCAGAGCACAAACTATCATTTTCATAATCCGATGCACTGCACTGCTATCCAAACGAAGATTAAGTGGACCCACAATGAGGGTTTTTGTAGACATTTCCTGTACATTTCCAAAATCTTCACTTTTTGCTGAAGAAAGGTCTTGCTGATTTCCAGAAACTAAAGAAGAGATTTTTTTTGTAAGTATCATGAAGAATATAAAACAACTGGACATATCAAATTATTAGATTTTTCAATTATTTTTTGTTTTAGATCCAGTGATCATAAACCTATAGTAAGAAAAAATACACAGGAAATATTAAAATGTAAATGTATATTTTTAAAATATTTGATCATTTTAAATATTGAGCGCCTGAAAGAGATCCTGTGTTGCATGTCTTACCTGAGGGAAGGGAGCATTAACATAACTTTAAAGTACCTTTGTGTCCTCCCAGTTTGGGGTGCTCTGGACACGCAAACAGCCCCAAATGTAATTTACACAAAAGCCTGATCCCAGTTGTTTAGGAAAGTTGTGTCGTTCAGAACATCTATAGTGCACTGTACCACAAACCTAACCATATCATATTCCTGTAATATTTTGCCTTACAGAAGGATACTCTAAGACAATATGTGCCTATCTTCCTTCATTTCTAAACCAAGGGAATTTTCCTTAAGACAGATCTAGGGCCTGAGCAGAAGAGAAATTCTTCTGAGTTCTTGTGGTAAAGACAGATAAACTACTGAAATGGATAAAAAAATCTCTTCTGTTCATCTACTAATAAGATACAGGATTGGTAGTGAGAATACACCGGGGCGGGCAAAATATGGCCTGCAAGTCACAGCCAACCCTCCTATCTGGCCCACAGGGCCCCTAAAAAATTTAAAAAATTAATATTCATCTGCCCCTGACTTCCTGTCAAAGATGACAGGAGCAAACGGCAGCAGGAGCCAGGAGAAGACGGCGATAGGACCCAGCGGCAGCAGCAGCAGCAAGGCCCCACCCCAATCCCAGCCACAGCTAGAAGCTTCTGCCTTAGCAGAAGCTTCTGGCCTGGGACCCTGGGGCTGTTCCCTGCCTCCCTCCGCTGGAGAGGGAAACTCAGGTAAAAACAGGTTAGGGGAGGGGAGGGGAGGGGAGGGGAGGATCGCAGGTGCAGCAGGAGCCAGCTGGATCCATCTGGCACCATGCAGTTCCCAGCTGGCAACCACATGGTGCCAGCTGGGCCAAGCTGGCTCTTGCCGTGCTGCGTGATCCTGGCCCTGCAGCCGGAACTGCATGGTGCTGTAGCTACACGTGGGGAGCAGTGGACTTGTTGAGGGGGGTGGGGAGGAGTGGTGGCGGCAGGCGGGGTAGGAAGGAAAACAGCCAGGAAAAGGCAGTGATAGCAGGCATGGAGGAGGGCGGGGGGAGGCAGGAAGAGGCAGCAGGCGGGAGCGTAGGGCCCCAGAGGTCAGGGCCAGCAGCAGCAGGAGCCAGCTGGGAGTTATGGGGCCAGGATAGCTCCTGCTGCATTCTGTGGTTCCGGTGTTGCAGCTGGGAACAGCATACTGCCAGGAGGTGCCCAGCTGGGCAGGCTGGCTCCATACCACACCACTTGGTTCCTGGCTACAATGCCAGGACCACAGAACACAGCAGGATGTAACCCGGCCCTGTGTTTCCCAGTTGGCTCCTGATGTCCCTCTACTGTGGCATGCCTGCAGCTCCCACACTAGGGGAAGCCCCGCATTGGAGCTGGCTGCCTTACTCATCTCCTGCCACGCCAGTCCCTGGACTCCATCAGGAATGGAGGGAGCCCCACTCCCTGCTTCACTGCAGAGTCCAGCAAAGGACTTCCCCTGTGCAAGTCTGGGAGGTGCAGGCATGCAGCACGGAGGCCCGATGATAGAGGTCGGTAGGCAGGATGCACTCCTCACCCCCATGCAGCGCTGGCTGGAACTATACCCTGCCAGTGCCTGCACCAGGCATGAGCACCCTGAGCCCCCAACCTGCTGCTGTTGCCAGCAGCAGGGAGTTCTCATCATGAGAGGGAGTGGAAGGGGTGTCCCATACCCCACAAACCTCACATACCCACACCCTGCCCCAGAAGCCCAACCAAGATATGCATATACTCCACCATACCCTATGCCACACACACACACAAACCCCCCCACACATACACACAGCCCTGTACAATATAAAAGAGTAAGACTATTTGAGTTATTATGCAATCCCTTCTATATACAGTACACAAACAAATCATGACACATTCTTTGTAATAAAATTAAAATATGTTTTAGTAGGTATGACTTGTAGTGTATAATTTGGGGGGTTTTCTGGTTCTTAGATGGCAACCCCACCCCCAAAGGACTATTTCTGGGGGCAAGGGGAGGGACTTCTGGTGACAAAGGTCAGGGGTTAGGAGACAGGACTTCTGGTCCCAATATGGCAACCAAGGGTTGGGGCAACTCTCAAGGGGTAGGGTTACCCCATGCAGCCCTCAATGGCTCACCAAAACTCATTAAGCAGCCCTCAAGACAAAATAACTGCCTGCCCCTGAAATAAACACTCCCTCACCAATGTGTCTCAGCCCAGTTTTAAAAGAATCAGCCCAGGGATGAAACAGTTGTTCGTAGAGATGTACCGATACATCAGTCCGATATCGGATTGGTACCTATACAAAGAAAATTGGCTGTATTGAAAATTGGTCCAATGGGGCCGATAAATGCCCCTGCATGCACTCAGCCAAAGCGTAGCACTCAGGCAGCGAGGAGCACAGCCTGCCAGCATGGAAAACTGCCTCCAACTGATAAG